GTATGTGCTTTGAGCTGAAGGGCGATCAGGTCGCGATTCGTCAGGCAACTCCCAGGTGCCAAGTTGCCATCCAAGTTGAAAGAGCTTGTTTGCGAGTCAGTGTTGGCCCAGACGGAGGCTGCACAACGCAAGTCTGCGAGACAACAGACGACAGGGAAGCACGAGACTTGGAGACATGTTGTTCTCTGGACGTTGATCGATGAGCCGCGAGGCAAATGATAGCTCGGATTGACGCGAACATGTCAACATGATGGTGACGGACTCTCGACGCTTCGCCTGGCCTGACCTTACCTTGATTGGGTGCTGCCCCAGTTGGGCTCACACCGTCCGTCTAGTGGGGCAGCGACAGCCATGGCCAGCCGGACAGTCAAGTGGGCCAGGTGACAGCGGCCGGACGCCGGACCGCGACACCTAGCAATTCGCACTACCCAATGTTCAGCCTTTGTTTGGCACATGGCAGCGTCTTGGACTCGGGCGGTGCAGGAGCCGTCACTGGTCAGCCTTGACTTGACATGTCAAGGTTGGATTTATCGCCAGTCTCCTCAGAAGTATCCTTCTTTCCATCCCAACTTTCCATTCGTTACACACTTAATTCTTTTCTCCCCCCTCTCTTCTCGCCCCCTGAACTGTTTAATTCAGCTTGGCCGTCCGAAATAACTACGTATCTTCACACCGCCCAGATCATACCGTCGCCGCCCCTCCACTGAGTCCACGCCATCGTGGCCTTGATCTACTGATCAGTCGAGCCCGCCACCTTGGAGCACAGTCAGTCGACTGCACGAGCGCAAGTATCCGAATCAAATTGCGCCATCGGTCAAGACAAAGAACCAGCTCGCCTACGATAAGGCATGATTCGCAGGCCCGTTCAGAGACAGCACCTGCGTCCTTGGCCCGAGGCAACTTCACATTGTGCTCGCACGTGCCGTCAAACCCTCCAGCCGCCATGGTCTGTCCGGTTCAGATAAAATTCTACCTTCCAGAAGAGTGCCGAACATTTACAGCATTCCCGCGCTTACCGCCTGAGGTACGGCAAAGAATCTGGGAAGCCTATTTGTCCACTCCGGGTGTCCATTTCCTCAAGCTGCAGACGAGAGATGGAGATTGGAGCTGGACAGAGAGGCGAATGCAAACGGCCTTCACAATGCAAGAAACGGAAGATTCAGAAGAAGCAGATCAGGGACAGGATGAAATGCTCAGGGTTTTGGAGAATGACAGAGTCCCAAGGGAGTCGCACCAAGCAAGCCTGATACCAGTCGGCCCATGCCCCCATGCAGACGTCTCGCACTACAAAGCTTTGCGAAGACAGCTTGCAACATTGTCACGGACATGTGTCGAGTCTCGAAGCGTCGCCACACGGTTAGCAAACAGAGCAGAAACTCTGAGGTTGGCCAACGGGAGCATCGTCTCCCTGGGAAGGTCACCCGATGTCATCTACTTGGACTACTTCCCCCCAAGCCTCTACCAGGGCAATGGCAATTTGGAAACAATACCCGACTGTTCCGACCTCAGTCACATAAGGCGGGTCGCAGTGCGCTTCTCACACACGTGGCGACCTGCAAGAAAGCAGTGCATGTGCGATTCGTGCCGGAAAAACAACGCTCACCTGCACAAGGGCTTCTATCCGGTCCATCTCTACCAGTTGCTGGCCAGGCATTTCCCCAACTTGGAGGAGTTCTTCTTTATAGACTATTTCATTGTGCACAAGAGCAGGTCCCACCACGAATATGGCGGGACAGTGCCACAGGGCCCATCCATGTGAGTCGTTGTCTGCAGACGGGATACATCCCAATACCCTGCTGACGAGATGTAGACGCACAAGACGGTTTCAGGCGGGAAACCGGTCGTACCATGAAGCGAATGAAGAGGAGTGGATCATGAAAAAAGACGCACTTCAAATAACGGCATGGCTTCGCTCAAGTTTTGTAAGCTATGCTACAAACAGCCCCCTTTGTCAACATAGGAATCCAGAGAAAGTTCGCTTCTCAATTTTGGCCTGCGAATGGAACATTACTCCCCCTGTTGAGAGACCATCAGCCTCACTGATGTTGGACGCCAGGGTCAGAACGGCCGACATGCCCTTCAACGGATCGACCAGGAGGCTTCATTCGCTGTCCAAGAGGCACCAATCATGGCTGTCCCAGGCCGAGGCAGTCAGCAATCGGCCGCTCACTGACTCTTCCGAGTGCATGCTGGACATGGACGATTCTCGCTGCAACTTTGTATTTCCTTCACTTTCCACCTCTCCGTCGCCGAACCAACCCTCGCATCGTCCTGTCAAGGCAACTCCAGCGTAGAACGCAACCAGCGTATTGGACCTGGTGTTGCAGAAACTCGAAGGAGGAGCCGTGTATTTGGTTAGTCTTCTTGCTGGCAACTAGAATCGATTAGCCTCCTGTCTGCCCATTAGCTCCTAGAACAGAATGACACATTACAATATTTACCCCTGTTGCTGCCGACGCAACGCATCTGCCAAGCTAGACCGTGGATGGATTCAAGTTGCGTGCAAGTGACGCGAATGATTTTCAAAACCGTGTCGTCCCTCTCAAATCCGCGCAGTCCAAGCCTGAGTACGGTCCTCGAATCGTGTGCGCGGAATCGAGCATCAGGCACGCACTTATTAAAGACACGGGCAGGACGAGGGCTCTATTCTTGAGAATACTTGCAAACATGTGTCATATTCAACGAGTGGCGCCCTGGACGTCGTCCTTTTCACTGGCAAAATTTGTTCTGCCACTCTGAAGCCTGACGCTGAATCCCAATTTAGCAAATACCACGAAGGGGTTTATGCGGGAGTGTATGCACCACTGTTCAAGTCGATAGGTTTGCTGAAAGTGTCCAGTCCTTGCCTTTGAGGCATCCACAAATGTTGCCGACTTGCAGAGGGCATTGCGGTGTGAGCCCATGGCATTGTATACTTTCATCAGCAGGAATTCAAGAGCACGTTGTCTCCTTCACTTGGGCACCATGTTCTTTTTGGCACGGCTGCACCGCTGAAATTGACGATACGCCAAAGGTAGACCCGGACACAGGGAATTCCGTCCTTGTTGGCGGAAAGAGTCAAATCAGCGACGTCTTCGCCCCAATCACCGTGATGCAAACCGAAAGAGGAACGATAATCGCTGGCACCATCAGCAACCGCAAGAAGACCCCATTTAAAGAAGCGGGAGTAATGGCAGTTGCGTTAGCCTTATCTAGTCTCACCATCTTTTCCTGCTAAACAGCGGAAAGTCCTGCTGCCTGGCACGAAGAAGCTGTACGGACCGCCGCCATCATCACCATCACCGCCGCCACGGTTGACAACACTGCCGCGACGCCAACTAAGCCAATCTGCATGATAGTTTCTGTTTTTACTCTACGAGCCTACTAATTCCGGGAGTGACCTTTTATGCATGTATACTAACAAATGGTGGCGTCAGTCGATGCCAGACTCTAATAGAGCCTAATACTAGCAGCAATCTAATCGGGCAGTCTTGCCCGAAGAGTAGTCTCCATGTTGAAGTACGTGGACAGATCCGGGCCATCTGAGGAGAGATCTTCCGTGGGAGTGCACTTGGGGCCAAGTATAACTCATGTTTGCCAAGTGAAGTGAGAAGTTGCTCGGAATGGGTGGCACGTCGTCGTTGCGATTGTCAACTTGACTTTGTCATATGTTGCCCACCGGCCGAGCTGATTTTCTGTTCGATATTGTTCTATTTTAATTTGACTTTGCCTTTTACTCCGGATTGGAGACTCGAGGCTTAGCATAGCACGTCCCAAGGCTCAGTAGGCCCGAGGCCGGCGAATTCAAGTCGTGCCTAATAGTGTCACGTAGAATTCAACAAAGTAAGCGTGAGGAACGATGCTATTTTGTGTGAACCAAGTGCGCATAGCCTTGGCGCTAACATGTAGTAGTTTCATACCAGCTTCACCTTAGAAAAGCCGTAGTGTCTGCATATCGGAGCTTAAAACACGCAGATTTTTCCCATGATTATCTATAAAGATGTCTGCCCCCCGAGTTGAGGAAGAGCCTTGGCCTACCCAGAAGCAGTGCCCAGAACATTTCAACAGATTCGATCTTCAAGATTCATCACAGAGAAAGCCATACTAGGGTTTGAAGCTCGATCTCGCTACAGACACGCCGTTGTATTACGAACTTGACACCAGAAGCGTAAATACCGAGTCCTTCGGCACAGCGTCAGCCAACACGCGCTTCAATCTAAATAATCATTCGCCCGGGACCACGCAGCCAACTTGTCGCGATGGAGAGGCCTTATTTAATCAGGCACACCAGGCGTTTCCGCGAGCTTACGAGACATGCTGGCTGTCAAGGCGCCCGTCGTTGTACCGGGATTAATGCGCCAGCGGTCCCTGTCCTGGGGGTCGATGACGTGGCTACTAACGTCTCCTACTCGTCGCAGCAAGTCGTGGAAAAGAACCCAGTTATAGAAGAGACCAGTGTTTTGGCAGAGACTACATTTGTGGAAGAGGCCGTTGTTGTCAAACAGACTGTGGTGAGGGATGAGACTCTAGTCGCAGCAGAGCAACAAGGGTTGAGAAACTCCTTAAGGAAGACTCTCAACACGGCCTACATGGCAATGCAACTACATAACTTCAGTGTTTTCAAGCGTACGGCAACTACTTCACGAGTGGAGGAACGCAACTATAATTCGGACGATTCAACGCACACATCACCTAATTTCCCAAATGATACAGAAGACTGTGATTCGGTTCATTCAATGCATACAGCAGCCACTTCTCCAGTAGAGGACGCTCAGGAAATCAGTTCGGTATTCCCTCTCCTCGAATTGCCAACGGAAATTGTGCTGCAAGTGATGTTGCATCTACCGACACCCTCTTTATATTGCCTTCGCCAAACTTCTACCCGACTTATGACGCTCTTTGACACACATAATTTTAGAGCGTTTCATCAACATCAATCATCAGGCAATCACAAGCAGTTTGATATATCTCAGCTCGACCCCACGCAGCGGAATGACGTCGCGAATTCTCTACATCACAACATGTATTGCGCCGCCTGCCTTGCGGCCGAAGATTGCGGGACGATAGATAAAAGACTGGAGAGGCTGCGCAGCTTGCTATATTGCACCGAGTGCAGTGTACTACACACAAGGGCACTCTTCCCCGAGGACAATGCAGCATATGGACTCGCCTCCAACGAGCAAATCTGTATTGGATGGCTCGAAAGGCTTACGGTGTGCGATCATCGTTTAGCCACGTCACTGTCGTGGCGAGATATGATAGATTTCTCCGAAGTGGCCCGCAACAAGACGTGTCAGATTACATGCCCTCACCGGTCACACCAGCCTGAACCGAAGTCCGGTCGATCACGGAAATCTGGATCCGAATTCCCACGATTCTTTGCGCAGGAACTACCCAACGATTTCACTACGCGGATAGGGTATGCCTGGGATCTACCTTTGCTCGACCTTGAGCATCGATCTGATCATAGTCTACCTGCTATTCAAGAAAGGCTTTCCAACTTGGTTGTAGATGCGTTGCACAACCACAACCACAGGCTGTGCCCGCATATTTCTGCCGACAAAGAGATTCGCAATTTTGTTCAGTCTGGCATCTGCAATTGCTTCGCAAAACATGACACTCGCCACGTTGGCCCGAAGGCCCCATGGCCCAAAGCATGCGAGTGTGGACGGCAAGTGACGCTCGAGTGTCGAATCTGTGGTGCGGTATACATGTGGTATCTTGCCAGGGGACAAGTATTTCTCTCGCTACGGTACTCGTGGAATATCCAGAAGCCGAGTAGCTTTGGATGGCTGGGCCTGCTAGGGTTTCAAATGAAGTTTTCCTCTCGGGATAATCAGCACGTCCTCTGGTGTGATACACCAAACTGTCGGACAAATAAGAGGCGGCGGTGGGAAGCACTGGTGAAGGAGAACGTTGCGGGGGAATATTTTGAGGACCGATATTTAGGACCTGTTGCCCATGATGAGCAAGACGACGATGGCCCCGACGACGGGACCCCAGACGACGATGGCTCCGTTGATAGCTTCCAGAATGAGGAGCAAGACGAGGATTTTACGGGGTTGAATTACGGTTTCGATTTCGAAGAGATGATGACAGCGTCCGAAAACGGTTCCTTTCAGAACTGGTAAGAAAGTCAGAGGATAACAGGTGTCGCGGTAGCTAAGAACTTCGTGGCTCATTGCCAGAGGCTAAAGAGACAGAGAGAGAAGATGTACACTCTTACTCTTATCCACAGTGCAACTTGTATGGGGATTTTTCATATCTCATCTCTTGCCATTGGTTATTCAATTGCAGCCTTGCCTACCAGGTCATGTTCTCAAGGGAAAGTTACCAAAGATGTGCTTTCTGTTGAAAAAATTTCCGTCCACGGTACTAATCTCAGCGTCAACGACGATCGCAGATAGGCCTTTCATAGCCTACCGCGACTATTTGACTCTACTTTACTATGAGATAGTTCGTACCTCCTACTCTGCTTTCTGGAGTCAATATTAGTGCTTTAGTGGGCGTGATGGGCGACATCCCATTTCCTACTATCCTTTTCGAAGCTCCCCTACTCTATGGAGCGCTGAAACATCGCAAGCAGCAATACGACTGCAGGCGAAATTTGACGACGGAAGAAGGAAGAATCGACCACCACTACGTACCTTGAATCAGACGACGCAGCTAATAAATCGACGTTGGCAGATCGCGACTGTAGCGATAATGCCACGGGAGGAGGGATAAGATATCTATTTGCGCGCCTATCCAGCTATTTGCCTGGTACTAGAATATTATCAAATATATTTGGAAATACATAGATATAATCTACTACGTGATGTTGCGAACTGAAGGCCAAGACAGTTGACCTGATATGGAAGCGATGAGGCGATAAGCGATTCCATGGGAAACCCAGACGTGCTCTTGCCGTTTTTGAATGGTCTGGTGTGCTCCCTCCTGGAAAAGGGCCGCGGGAAAGTCTTGTTGCCTGGCACGAACAAGGTTTACGCGAGGAAGGAAGGAGACCTGCCAACGAGAAGGCAGTAGCCTGCCATGAATAAATTCGATCGGTTTCTGTCCTTTTCCATGGAGGCGGTGAAAACCACATCCCCCATCATCGCCGCTGCACATCATTTTCCTCCTTGTCTTCACTGAACAACAACCACAGCAGTAGCAGCACCGGAATCCACAGCCCTAGCGGTAAAAAAGCTCCGTCAGTCTCATGCACCCATCCATCATTACTACATGGTTTGACATTGAACAGAGTAGGAAAGCAGCCACGATGACGACGACGGCAGCGACGCATTGGCCTTGCTTCCATGAGTCTTGCTCGTGTTGAGCAGGTTGACCATCACGTTGGAATAGAATATTCTGAGAATCAAGTGAGTGATTGGCTTTGCGCTACTTACTCGCTGCTAACCCGCGGCGATGTAGACATGCTGCTCTCCCGCGAGGCTCTGGTGCAAGTATTGCCTTCGGACAACGCTGGGGATGGCAGTCCCAGAGCGCGCAGCAGGCAGCTCATGTGACGCTATTTCCAAGTGTTACCCAAACACTAAGCCAGTTGCTGCGTCTCGCGCCATGGTTCATGCTGTAACAGCTAGTACTGAAGACAGAGATGAAGCTGTATGTTCAGCAGGCAAGCAAGCTTGATGCTAAACTCACCAGAAAACAGCTAACATGGATTCTCCCCTTTAGATCTGCAGACTGTATGTTGCCTGCCGGGTCTTCGAGATGAAATGCTCCAAGGAGCGCCTAAACGGCCGTGCTGGCTTTCCGTTTCTCGAGCCTTGGGCCATCTACACCATGAACCTTGGCGCAATGAGGCTATCGTCTCTGCATATCACCCCTCTGACAAGATAGATGGTCTTCTTGTGCGAGACAGAGGACACAAGATCCTTGGTGGCCCACCTCTAGGTACAGCCTCCAATTTGTGTTGTGGGTGCTTGTGGGCTACCCAGCGTTGTGCGTACGCTGCTTGCTCCTAGGATGAGCATTTGGCCGTTCGTCATGGGAATGCGCGTGGGCCGGTCGAGGAATGCAGCATGGATCCTACTAGTATGTCACTATGAGCTCGCTGCTAGTCGGTTGCTGATGTTCTTAGGTCGCTCTGCCAAGTGTTCCCGTTGCTTTAAAAATAACAAGGCGTGCATCCCAGTAAGTTGATTGTGTCATATGCAGGCAACGCCCAGCTAACGCACTACTAGCTCGATGCTCGTTGCCGTCGTGCATATGCCGACCTCCTCCTCGCCCAGGCCAACGTTCCTGCGACCGAAAAGTACAACGATAACGAGGTGGGTGTTTTTGGTCTGAGGTTCTCAGTCACTACTAACTCGCAGCGACATAGGGCATGGCAAGGACATCACACCATCACTATCACCGCCACGACGACAAAGACGACAAAGACGACGACAATAACAATGATGACCGTAATGAGGGATATCTCCCTCACCGTGTTCGGGGCCGTTGAGGCCGAAAGAAGGGCCGCAGAGAAGCATAGTACACATTATACACAGACTTATTATTAGTAGGTTAAAGTTAACATTAGATTTCACAGCCCTTAAGATGCAGAAGCTTTGTAAGTCTTGTGCACCTATCCACATTACTACATAGTTTGACATTGGGGAGAGTAGGAAAACAGCCTCGGGATCGCGCGGCACGATGACGACAACGGCAGCGACACATTAGCCTCGCTTCCAGGCGTCTTCCTCGTGTTGAACAGGCAGACTATCACGTTAAAATAACACCCGTGGACGCCAACCCACGTTAACAACGGCTGCAAGGGATCGAGGACATCACCACTATCACTATAACCGCCACGACGACGACGACGACCACCACCACCACCACCACCACTAAAATGAGGGATATTTCCCTCATTCTGTTTGGGGCCTTTGCGGCCTTCTACGGCGCGTCCCGGTTCCTCCTCGAGTAGTGCTCGGAGGTCCGGGCGCGCGCCGCTGAAGGCCGGGCTGCAGAGAAGCACGGTACACATAATACACAGACTTATTATTAATAGGTTAAAGCTAACATGAGATTTTACAGCCCTGGAAGTGAAGAAACTTCGTAAGTCTTATACACCTATATATAATTATGCTTATTAATTCCAATAATATAGGCCTCGAAATTGCGAAGTTGGGTCAGTCTGAACACACCGTCTATTCTGTTTGTTTACCCGGCGATTTAACATTCGACATTGACAGAGCGGGAGGCGGCACCGCCGCCAACGCCACCACCGCCACCATCACCAACACCATCTCCGTCACCCTTCCGCCGAGACCCGGCCCAGGTGGCATCGGCCGCGAGGCCGTTGACGTGGTAACACCGCGGATGCTGACCGCGTAAACAACAGCAACGTGTTGAATAGGGAGACAAATCACGTTAAAAGCTTAACACCCGCGGATGCCAACCCGAGACAACAACGGCTTTAAGGCGGATGCTGACCGCGTAAACAACAGCAACGTGTTGAATAGGGAGTCAAATCACGTTAAAAGCCTAACACCCGCGGATGCCAACCTGTCACATGTCCATGTCACGTGACATGACAACACATATCCATTAGCTCGATTAGCTCAACTAGCTTGACTCAATCAACTATTTCACACATCATCACAATTGGTAGCAATTGTACGTTTCGACGAGCTTTTCGCCCGTACGACCAGAAACCAGAACCAGCATCATTTTTTACTGCAACCACGTTTTTTTCAATTACTCCGGATCGACTCTATGTCGTCGTCCCCTGCACTTCCATCACAGTTCATCCTTGACACAGTTCGCTTGGCACGATTTTTGTGCTCTATCGCGATCAAACATTCGCCAAGCCAACTGATGACTCTAAAAATTCATTGTTTTGTTACCACAGAACGAGCAATTTCTTCATTTATTTCACCGGACAAATACCACTTTAGTAAGAACTCAATAGTTGTGGCTTTACTCCATCGGCGCAAGCTGACTCAGTTCTGAAGACGAGACTGCCACTTTCGAAACAGACCCACAGAGCTAGGTGTATCACCCGCCACCGCCCAAAAGCGGCACTGCGGGATGCTACCTAAGACATCCCCGCGACCTGTGGCTCATGTACAATTGTATAAATGTGTAGCCGAAGAGGCCCTCGCCGGTGTGTAAGGGGTCAAGGTCATGCAGGCGAGGTTGAAAGGCGAGTCATAGGCAGATCAGTATGATGCGGACAACCATACAATGCAACGGCTATCTGTTTGACAACATTTGGTCAGATTCGAATAGTTTGGCCCTTCCTGGGATGGAAAGCGGCGGCAGGAAACCGACGGTACGAAAAACTGTCTTCTTAGATAATATTTGTCGAAAAAAAAGGGGGGAGGGAAGAAGCGGGGGACGTGTCTGTACGGGTTCATCGGCCATCAACTCCAACTCGGCCGCAATGCCGGAAACGAAAGCCTTTCTAGCTTGCACTGCCTAGATTGCTTATACATTGTATGTGAAATAAGGAGATGAAAATTCATCATTGGTTGATTAGCTCCTGACCCTGGTTGTGACATATCAGCAGAAGATGTTGGTCCTAGTTGTTGCTCCCCCTTGCCTTTATTCATTACACTGCGGCGTAGCGAGTAATAGGACGCCTCCTAGGGTATGGAGCAATTGGGTCTTATAATCTCACAATTACAAGCTGTGGGGTCAAGGGTAGCATGACGTCACAGTTGTAGCACATGTTCTTTTGGCTTGTCCCTGTAGAGGCTCTTTGTGTCGCGGTGTTAATATGCTTGTCGACGCCAATTCCGATCCACGACGAGTTACAGAATGTTTTTTTCCCACGTGATGGATTTATATCTGTGCGAGAGCGAGAAACGGACAGACAAGCAGGATCAGCCCTGTGGGCGAAGCCGTCGAGGTCTGGCTCCAATACGGAGTATGCTACACATGGCTAGCCCATCATGCCAGGACTGCATGCAAGAGTTGTCATAGCTCGACAATGGTCGAGCCAGGTCAGGGAGGTGGGCAGTAGTCGACTCATCTGTGCCTGCACAAACGAGAGGTTCATTTATGCCCAACATGGCAGGAGTCGATGGATGCCCAACAGAAGAGTGGGCGTCGATGTGATTAAGCTTACGTTGAACACAGAGGTCCATTTGACAGACGACAGATGTCTTGGTGAGACCACACAATGGCATAACGGTTTACGTGATGGTAGTAGCGATGCCACTTCATACCCGTGTTGCTGACGTTTCGCCTCTCGATCCTGAGATATTCCATGCGTACCAGACTCTTGACGGCAGCCCACACATGGGCTTTTACAGCCACGGCAACGAGTCACATTGCATCAGGGGACCTCGGTCCACATCGAATCAGATGAGCTCAGATACACCGAAAAATTCCAGCTAAGGCAGATACCACGCGATTCTTGGCACTTGTGGCTCCGCGACAGTACAGAGTTCAACACTCCAGCTTCGTCATGAACGGGACCGCATGTGCTGTTAACAGCCCAAACACACTGACGGCTGCCAACAATGGTAGTACACAGCGACAGCAATTGCTTTGCTATGGAAAATCAGGACGCGCAGTTGGCGCCTTGGGAAATCAAAGCGAGCTTCTACTTGTACACCAAGGCCAGCACGTCGTCAGTTGTTTCTGAATATTACATGGAACAGAAACTAGGCGGTATAAGCATTTACAAGAGCCCGCCTACTCTGTCCTTTGACGCCAGCCTGCCATCATGGAAGTCATGGCACCAACGGGAAGACATCTCCTGGGCGCGGCTTGGCCAAGTAGTCGGCCGGAATCTCGTCGTTGGGCGGTCGCTATGGCAAAGTTAGCGGCCGAGGCGGGGCACAGATGAACTTGTTGGCCGACGCTACCTGAAGATTCATCGCCCACTCTCTCACGTCTCCGTAGTTCTTGCACTTGTGGTTTGTGTTGAAGTCGGGGAAGGGAAAAGGGCTCTCCGAGTTGGCCCACACCTGACCGAGCACCCCTGTGTCGACATTGCACATCAAGACTTGCCGAATCACGTCGAGACAATGGGCTGTGTTGTGTCGAAGGTCAGTATATGTTTGTTCCCTGGACCCGGGGTTTGCCACAGCAGCCCACGGCACCTACTGATGTGAGGGCGGAGGATGGCATCTCCGTTTACAAACTCGTGCTTGCCGAGTTGCTTGTAGTAGTCGTAATTGAAGTAGAGCGACTTTCGGACGAGGTTCTGAAGAAGGCGTCTTAGTCTCTGGGGTTATCTGGAAAAGGAGACGAGACCGACCAAGCAATGCAAGTGGTGCATTCCTTCGACGTTGACGAGAAACCCTCCGCCGTACTTGGCCGCTCGCTGGACAAAGGAAGGCTGCAATCCGCTGCGCAAGCCATCTTCGTACGAGATGATTCCGGCTCGATCTGTCAAGGTCAGCAACAGCATGGCTTGATACCCCCCAGGGACGTCTTCGCACTCTCCCTTACAGTCTACCCCGAGGTCTTCCCAGGCTTCATCTACCTCTGGAGAGCCTTGCTGTCTGTAAATGTTTTCTCTCATAAACGAGCCGTTGAACACCTGGGTCTCGTACGAGACGGCCACGTCCCTCAGGACGGGAGCTGCTTCCCATCAGCTTCACGAGCTCGCCGGTTTACCCTGGGATCGCTTACACCATTGGGTTGTGTGTGCTGCGCATTCCGCGTCCACCGACACCTTTGGCATGGGCACTTGTGTTCCAGCCCAGAAGGAACAGATGCAAGCCACCGCGAGGACTGAGACCAAGAAGAAGGATTTGAAGAACAAGCGCCTCCCTGTCTTCCGTCGTCCGAGCAGCTCGTCACGCGACAGCTCCGGGTCGTCCTCCGAATCGCCTGCGCCGCCTGGCTGTAGTAGGTGTTGCTTTGATTCTTGGGACATGTCGTGTCTTGGTCGTGCTTGATGGTCTGTCTTGCGAAGTGTCCAGGCCGGTTTAAAGTGCGATGAAATGCATTGTTCTTTTGACGGCCGGAGCTTTTGTCGGAGGCTCGCGCGTCGCTTCCGTCGCTTCCCATGCCGATCTGCCAAAGGCGTCAAGATACTCCGCAGGCTAAGCTGCAACGACACCAGCGAAAGCCCTCTATTGGCCTGTGTGAGTGTCGGAGCCACGAGACACGGCAATCCACATTCCTCCGCCAGAGACATGGTTTGGCGAAGGCAGATGGACCACGTCGCCAGCCGCAGCCTCTGACTTGGCATCCATCGCGACGCTAGACGGTGGAATACGAAGGCCTCGACGTGTCCATGATGGCCGGAGTGCTGGCTAGATGCGCATCCCGTTGGTCCTCCAGCCCTATACGACGTTTGCGGCGGACGGATTGGTGGCTCGGGAACGATGGCGTTGCGGCTGAGCGGTAGCGCCGCGCGGTTGAAGCTTGTCCGGGAGCTTTTTGGCGCATGGCAGGGCTTGCGTCATAAAGGAGCTGTTTCCAAATCTTGAACCTTGGCAACTACCGGTTTTGGAGGGTGGCTGAAGGCCATTGATGGCACGACGTCCAGCCACCGTGCTGATTGAGTTTGGCTCGCCGAGGCATTCGGCGATGCAAGTTGGGCAGATGATGGATATACGAGCCAAGCCAGGCTGGCTCTTCTCTTGCGAGGACTGGCATCGACGTCACGTCATGGTCCAGCCGAGAACACGGTGCAGCAGAGAAGATGAGCTGCCAGGGCCGTCTCCAAACGGGCAACATGCCGGCCATCTGTCGGCCGCATGCCACGGTCCCGAGGCCGCGAAGCGACGGGCAGAGTTTGAAGGCTTGACGATAGAATTGGCGCCACCGTTGATCATGTTCCATCGCCGCCGCTTTGAGAAGATGCGAGATACGAGCTGGGACGGGGGCGAAGAGTTCCCGCAAGGCTTTGGCTCGAATGCAATTGCCACGGCTCCTTGCGCCGGACTTGATAAATGGCCTGGCCTCCTCGTCTGGGCAAACGTTTTCCCATTCACCACGATCCATCTTGGAACAGCATCACACTGCTTCATCCAGTCACTTCAACTCATACCCTGACGACCCCGGACGCGCAACGTCAACCAAGCCCAAGGTCACACCATGAAGACGACACTGCTCGCTCTCCTCGCTGCCGTTGCTTCCGTCATTGGCTCCCCCGTCCCCGAGCCGGATCCAGAAGCTAATCCCGTCGACTACGGCAAGTACCCGCCTCCCAAGGGGGGATACGGCGACTATCCGCCGCCAAAGGACGGATACGGGAGCTACCCGCCCCCAGCAGGGTGGTTATGGCTCCTACCCACCGCCAGCGGGCGGCTACGGCGATTACCCGCCACCCGAGGGCGGATACAAGTCATACAAGGAGTAATAACGAAGCCGGGCAAGATGCCGATGCAAGGATGGACAAGGGACCGGTGGATGTACGTAGAGGGAGGGCATCACGGGGGTTCTAGAAGCGAGTGTCCCTGGAGAGAGCACACCCTTGTCCTGTCGGCAGCCGCTGAGAAGCTGTGTTGGAGGATGCCAATGGCAAAAACCATACAATAATACAGGTACTTGATGCTGAGAGGAAATCGATTCTTCGTCTTGTTCCGTCGTGAGCTTCCTCCCACCTCCTCCCACGAGACTGTCAAGTACGTCCTGATAAACACGAAGCCATGAGTGTTGAATGGACACGTGGCAAGTTTGAAACAGCATCTTTCATTCTATTATGCGCCCTGTCTGTGGGAGAATGTAAAAGTCGTGAAAAGCACCATCTGCAACTACACAAACGCTCCGGCCACCAACTTTTGTCAATAAAACATGGAACTCAACGAGATGGTCATTCGTCTCGAAATTTAAAAAAAAAGGAATAAACAAACATGCTCGCAATTACAGGTGTGTCGACAATTAAGACGTATTTTGAAAGCCCACATCGAGTCGGCACCGCACCACGGCCGTCCCCGCGGTCCTCTAAACAAATACAATTTCGGCCTCTCCGTCACACCGGGGGCAGGGAGTCACTGTCCGAGCTAGAGCTGGGGCTCGGGCTCTGGTCCTTTTCCACGTTCCACGGCCGGACGGGGTTTCCATGCCACCGCGTGCCGGGCGGGATGTGCTCGCCGCGCATGACGAGAGACGTGGGCGCAATGGTCGTCCCGGCGCCGATGGTCGTGCCCGGGAGCGAGATGGCGTAGGGGCCGAGCGTCGCGCCCGGCTCGAGGTGGACCTTGTCGAGGCGCATGAGCCGGTCGTGGAAGAGGTGCGTCTGGAGGACGGATCCCCGGTTGACGGTGGCGCCGTCCTCGAGCGTGATGAGGTCGGCCTCGGGAAGCAGGTGGCTGTCCAGCCAGACGCCGCGGCCGATCTTGGCGCCCAGCGAGCGCATCCACATGTTGAGAAAGGGCGTGCCGTAGCAGAAGGAGACGAACCAGGGCACGGCGAGGGACTGGACGAAGGTGTCGGCGAGCTCGTTGCGCCAGACGAAGGAGCTCCATAGCGGATGCTGGTGGCCGGGGCGGATGTTGGGCGTCAGCAGCCATTTGGCCAGGGTGGCGAGAGTACACGCGGCGAGCGCCGATGCCAGGAGAAGTGCGCCGCTGGCCAGGACGGCCCAGCCGACGCCAAAGGTGATGAGCATGTAGAGCATGGCGATGCCGGACAGGGTGGAAATCATGCCGGAGAGGAGGAGCGGGAGCAGCCGGCAGGATTCGACGAGGGCCCGGGCCAGGACCAGCCGGGCGGGGGGGTCGAAGGTGCGGCTTTGGTCCACGATGGTGGTGATGCGGCGCGGTATGGCCATGGGTGGCCGGCCGAGCCACGAGGAGCCGGAGGAGAAGCCGGCGCCCATGTGTTTCGGGCCCAGGGCCGAGCTCAAGACGCCGATCAGGACGCCGTCCGGGACCTCGACGTCGGGGTCGACAATGGCCGAGTTGCCGATGAAGGACTTGACGCCCACCTTTGCGGTGCCGATGCGCACCTGGCAGCCGCCGAGCTCAAACGGCGACAGCAAGACGTCGTCGGCGAGGAAGCTGCCGTCCTGGACGTCGAGGAGTGACGGGATGGGCACCACGGTGGACGCTTCCACGTTGCGGCCCACGCGGGCGCCGAGCAGCTTCAACCAAGTCGGGGTGAACAAACTGGCAAAGACGGGGAAGAGCACGGCTCGCGTGCCCATCATGAGAAAATGCGTCAGCCAAGCTGCCCATGCAGTGACCCCGTGCCACGGGTAGAGGCCCGGGCGGAGCGCAAGACTGGCCGCTCGGGTGAGGAGGACCACCCAAGTCGAGTACAGCAACAGGCCGAGGGCGGAGCCCGGCGCTGCCATTGTGATGAGGCCCAGACACAGCTCTCGGAAGTTGGTGTAATCGCGAACAATGGTAGGGATGAGCCCCAGGACAGGCGCCACCGAGAGCACCGAGAGAAAGTCCAGCATCAGCAGCGTGCCCGTGTACAGAAGCCATATGCCGAAGCTCTCTCGCGTCCTCGCCGCGCCGTCACCGGCATCCAGCGTGTTTTCCCTTTCCTTGGAGGCCAGAGGAGCGTCGGCGGCGCGGACGATGCCGCGGACGCTGAGTCCGGGCTGGACACTGGCAAACGGTTCGAGGATCGTGTCGGGCATGAGCGTGCTGCGGGCGCCGACCCGGGCTCCCTCCCCGATGGTGACGGCGCCAATGTGCAGCTTGTCGCCGTCGAGCCACCACCCGGCGATATCAGCCTCCGGCTCCACGGCACACCCGGCGCCGAAGCTGGCCAGGCCGGTCGTGGGGGGCAGCGCGTGAAGCTGCACGTTGGACGCCACGCGGCAGCCCAGCAGCCGGGCGTAGTACCTGCACCAGGGCGTGCCGGCGATGGATCCGATGCCGCCGAGTCCCACGAAGCGCTCGGCGGCCCAGAGCCGGATGTGCCGCAGCCCGCCGCGGCGATAGGTGCCCGGGGCGATGCCGAAGCAGAGCATCCTCGCCACCGCGGCGGTCGTGAGCATCCTCCCGGGCCCCGTGAGGAAGACGGCCCAGATGACGGCGAGCGTCCACCACGGCAGCGCGTACGCGCCGGCCCAGGTGCCCGGCCCCAGGCGGACGACAAAGATCTTCTTGACAAAGGCCAGGCCGGTCAGCCACCGGACGCCCTGGAACGTCATCTCGAGGAAGATGATGGCGGCCTGGATGACCATGAGCCAGCGCGGCGTGGGCACCACCTCGCGGTCAATGTGCTTGGTGCCCATGAGGTCGTCGACGCGCGCGGCCATGGCGGCCAGCTCGGGCTTCTCGTAGACGTCGGCAACCGAGAGCGTGGGGCAGCGCTGGCGCAGCTGCGAGACGAGCTGCGCGGCGCCCAGGCTCGTCCCGCCGAGGTCGAAAAAGTTGGAGTCGAGCGAGGGCGGCATTCCGAGCACGCGCCGCCACTGCTCGGCGACCCATGCCGTGGTGCCGTCGGCCTCGACTTTGTCCACGTGGAAGTCGCCCGCGGAGTTTTGTGGGGCCCGGGCCGAAGCCGCGGCCGGGGCCGGAGGCGGCGGCGGCGGCCAGGGCAGTGCCTTCCGATCCACCTTGCCCGAGGTGCGGATCGGGAGGTCGTCGACGGCGACGAGCATGGGCACGAGGGTCGCGGGCAGAAGCCGCCGGAGAGCCTCCCGGTCGGCCGCGCCGGGCGCCCGCTTGTTGTTGCCGCAGACGACGTATCCCACGAGGACTTGGGCGCCCAGTTCGCTGCGCTGGATCGCGCTGGCGGCGGCGCAGACGTCGGGCAGCGTCAGCAGCGCCGCGTCAATCTCGCCCAGCTCGATGCGCCGCCCCCCCAGCTTGATCTGCTCGTCGTTGCGGCCGACAAAGGAGAGCCCGTCGGGCTCGGCGCGGACCAGGTCGCCGCTGCGGTAGGCCCGCTCGCCGCCAAACACGGGCGCCGGCGCAAACTTGGCCCTGTCCTTGTCGAGGTCGAGGTATCGCGCCATGCCGACGCCGCCGATGACGAGCTCGCCCTCCTCGCCCCAGGCCACGGGCTCGCCGTCGGGCCCGACGACGGCCAGCTTCCAGCCCGCGAGCGGCAGCCCGATGCGCACCGGCTCCCCGGGCACGAGCGGCGCGGCGCACGACACGACGGTCGCCTCGGTGGGACCGTACGTGTTCCACACCGACCCGACGGTGCTGGCAAGCCGCGTGGCCAGCTCCCCCGGGCAGGCCTCCCCCCCGAGGATGAGGAGGCGGAGCCCCCGCAGGGCCTCGGCCGGCCACAGCGCGGCCAAGGTCGGCACGGTGGACACGACCGATATGCGCTGCGCGGAGAGGAACTTGCCCAGGTCGGCGCCCGCCTTGACCAGGGACCGCGGCGCCGGCACCAGGCAGGCGCCGTGCCGCCATGCAAGCCACATCTCCTCGCATGAAGCGTCAAAAGCCACCGAGAGACCGGCCAGCACGCGATCCCCGGGGCCCAGCGGCCGGTCTGGCAGGAACAGCAGCGCCTCGGCGTCGACAAAGGCTGCCGCGCTGCGGTGGCTGACCGCCACGCCCTTTGGCTTCCCTGTCGAGCCCGAGGTGAAGATGATCCAGGCGTCGTCTTCCAGATCGGGACGCTGCTGCAGTCGACTGCCAACTGGCGCCCTGTGCCGTGTAAGCGTGGCGTCGTCCGTCAACACGGCGCTCACGCCGGCCTCGGTCCACACGAGTCGCGCGCGCTCGTCGGGATCGTCCACGTAGACGGGGACGTAGGCAGCGCCGGCCGCGAGGACCGCGAGGATGCCGACGTAGAGCTCCATCGAGCCGGAGCTCACGCGGACCCCGACCCTGTCGCCGACCCCGATGCCCGCGTCCCTCAGCTGCTTCACCCGCGCGTCGACGTGCCGCGACAGCTCTCGATAGCTCAGCCGTGAGGTGCCATTGTCGAGAGCAACGGCGTCCGCGTGCGCCGAGACGGAGGCGCCGAGAATGTCCACCAGCGTGCGAGCCGCCGCAGGCCGTTGGTACGGGTACACGGCCGAGTCTGCGGCGGCCGCGGCGGAATCCAGACGTGGCTGCGCGTGGTCCATGCGAGTATCGTCAAGGCCGCCTTGGACCTGTGTGCGTTGGTTGTCCATGAATTTCCCTTCCCACGACTGCTCCGTAGGGGGACCCAACTGGATAATTGAGTGAAAGGTGAGGTGAGCCGGTGCTGGGGGGCGTCGAGATTGTCAGAAACAGGGGTTCCGCGATGTCTTATACCGCAATACGGGGACTTGTTCAAAACGGAACGGACGGAGATTTTCGAACCCCTCTCAAGCAATGGGGCGAGCGTCCATGTCTCACCACGCACCGGGCTTGTTGAGGTGTTGTTCGTGAGAATCCGGACTCGAGACTGAGCGATTGTCTCAAGCCACTATATATATTGCCCAGCCATGGCTTTTTACAGGTCCTACAACACCTGGCCTGACCTCGTGTTGAGCATGCCAACAAATTGCACGAGGACCCTTGTTTTTTTTTCCCCTGTCCGCCCCTTTCTTTGCCTCTCCTGCCGTCGGATCGGGCGTCGACGAGGTGCTCGGAATCGAGGAGGAGCGTCGTCGTCGAGACTAGACGAGACGAGCATGAGTGCATCATGCACTATCAGCTTTCTAAGCTGACCGTACGTACAGACGGAGTTTGCAGAGAAATATTACATCAATGAAATTCAAACAGGCCTGTTGCGTACTTTTCCTGGCATGGGGTACCTTGCTTCAATATTGAGATCCAAGTTGCATGGCCAGCCGTCCTCCACACCAACTCTTGCCACGGCCAAATCTACACTGCTTATGTATACCATGATTGGGCTGGGCAGCGTAGGCCTTGAGCCCGAACCCCCCCCTTCTCCCCCTTGCGGGAGCACAAACCTGGAGAAGGTTTACTCAGCAGCACTTCACACCGGTGGTGGTCACTGGTGTTGAACACCCGGGAACCGTTATATCCCAACACGTCGGCCTCGGGACCGCCCTGTCTCACACCAGCCCTAGGACGCAGGGATCCAGGAATACCCAGAGTGCAGACGACCGGGGGGCGGCAAGAGGGAGAGCATTAGCGGTGCGAAAAACTCCTAGCCCAGGCCAGGCCTGGCCAGGCTAGGTGATGATTCTGGTGGAACCGACCGGCCACGTTGGAAGCTGTGGCGGCAAAAACGGCCGGATCTACGGCATGTTGCCAGGAGCATGTCGACGGGCAGCGCCGTCTCACCAAAAGAACCGTCATGTGTGGAAACGCACACAGAAGGAGAACAGAACAGACCAACAAGAAGCGCCCTGACGCCATGATGAGAGTTTCGGCACGCACGCACGAGAAATTGATGCTGACAGCCCACAGGAATCGGACGCATCTAACTGGAGCTGGCGGTAAGCTGAGGAATCAGGATGCAGGCGAAGGTTCCAGCTCCCGCCTTCAGCTACGACTAGCGACACGTCGAGGCTGACAAATGACGGGGTGGAAAGGGCGAGCCAAGGCCTGGCATGCCGGTTTTGGTCTTTTTCTTTTTCCCGTCCCCTTTTCCGGGGTCTCTCTGCTCTTTGGCCGTCTGCGCTTACGCGTGGCACTTGAGGATGAGCGCACGTAGCACGTCGATGCTCGAATTCAAAAGGTGGAAGTGCAGGAGCGACCGAACCGAACCGGGCAGACAAGAGGTTGATGATGTTTGACATACGGGACCGGGTCTCCTGTTTTCTCTTTCTGGTTCGTTGTACAAAAAAGGCCCCTTTTTCCTGGAACCCATCGTACGTGGCCGCGTGCATGTACACACGGAAACAACGACAACTTTGAGTTCAGGCACCAGGCACTCTCCCACCCCGGGGGCAACGGCAACGGCAACGGCAACGGCAACGGCAGCAGCCGCAGGCAACGTCTTTCCGAGCTGCTTCGTGTTTGTTTTCATGGCTGCTGGACCCTGGGCGGCGGAAGCAGGTCGCGTGCGGCCAACGAGGCCCCGAGCAGTGGCCACCACGTACTCCGTACGGAGGAATTATTCGCGAGCAGCCGGACGCATGCCGAGGCAGGCCCGGCAACGATGGCAACGGCATTTCCTCGTCAGACTCAGATGGCCAACGCGGGCTGAGCGGCAGTCACCCGCGCGACGCCAGACCAGGCCCTTGGCTGGGCTTGGGGACGCGTCAGCCACGAAGCACAGGGGTTGGGGCAGGGGCCGAAAGCCAAGTTGGCAGCTTAAATGAATGAATGAACGGAATGGAATCGATCCATGTCAGCTCGGCTTCGATGGTCTGCCGCCTTCGGTCCGGGGCTGCAGCCACACGACGACAGGATCCAGGACGTGGCGACGGCGTAATCCGGACCGCGTACCGAGCACGAGCACGCAGAGGAGCAATTTGGGACCGGCTGGCCCCCAATGGCAGGCCTCTCTCTGCCTCTGGGGTCGTATCACGTACCCTTTGACAAGGTTTTTCCAGCCGCTTGGCCGGGCTGACCCGACCCGGACCTGGAGATCAAAGCCATGCCAACACCAGCACACGGCGGCATGGAGCGTCGAGGGCCTTTTGCTGTCTGTCCGTCTCCCTTGGTCCTCTCTCTCTCTCTCTCTGTGTGTCTCAGTCTCGTTCTCGTCTCGTCCGTCTTTGTCTCTGCCCCCTCTCTACCCACGCCCACGGCGCTGATTCCTCCCGGCCACCGGCGTCTCCATTCCATCCGTCGTGGCCGCGCCTCGACTCCGTCGACGCCATCTGCCGTGACCAACATCACATCGCCCACTCTTCCCTCGTCCATTATGCCCCGGCCCCGGGCTCTGGTGTATCGCGGGCCGGCGAGCAGCCACGGCTTGCCCGAGGCCGTCGCCAAGCTCCTGGAGTCCTCCCCGCGACGCTTTGACGTCCAGTACGCAGGCCCAAGCGAGGCCATCCAGGTGTCGCCCGAGAGCCTGAGCAAGGTGGACTTGTATGCCCAGCCAGGGGGTCCAGGTACGTCGAGTCGAGGCTGATTTCCATTCCGAGGCACGTACATGTGCCCATGTTTCATGACATCACGACTGGACTCTTTTTTCGCAAGCGCGTCTCGTCGTCTCCCCCCCCCCCC